GGGTCCTGCCAATTTTTCAAGTGTCCAAAGTACAGTGAACATTCCTTGTTCAAGCCAACCATATTCTATCAAGTAAACAAAGACATTGACTCGTCTCCACTTAGAAAGGGCACCATTGGTGGATACTGTAAATCTAGTCATTGAGAACCTTTGGGATACAACAACACAAATTCCATTCCTGACAAGCAAAGGAGTCAAAGTCCTGATAAAATGCTCTGCATTGTCCGTGTCTGAAGCAACAAGACCAATCAAGGTCCATCTGAAATGGAGGAGCAGTTTGACAATCACTGGGTACTGGCTTCCTTCTTTGGGGACCATCCGGTAAAAAAAAGGGAATTGAGTTTTATCACTCAGAGATGCTGAAACAACTTTATAAGTGATCTGAAAAAGAAAAGAAGAATGTTGTGTTTTATTTCAGGTTAGATCAAGACCAAAATATTAGCTTTTAATAAATCCAGCTTGGTCTTGTGATTGTTTCCAGGAATCTGGGACTTGCTAAGCATTGATAATATGATTTATTCTGGGTCATATTTGTGTCTCTCCTCACCCTTTTCATCTCTTGCACCTTCACGAGCATGCAGCAGAAGCCCCAAAAGTTATGAGGATATGGCTGCTTTGATCTTTGCCCCCTTCCTGTTGGGGATCCCAATCCATAGCCCTGATACCTCAAATACCACCCATCCAGTCACTTTATCAGATACAGAAACACACACGCAAACCTGTGGGATTTTGTAAATGCCTACTAAGGTTGACATCTGGATGGAGATGTCATCATCAGTTCCATCAAGAAGAGCCAAGGGGTTATCCTTCCTTCCACAGCTGTAGTTGGGAACGTTGGCTTCTCCAGTAGACAGCATGTCCAGCAAGGCATCTGAAGTCACAAGTGTGTTCACATAGTTGTCCTGGATGTTGTAGCCAAGAGTGAGATTGTGCAAGAGATGTGCATCCTTGTTGACCTCTTGAATGGCAACAATGAAGGGTAGGATTCTTGAATAGTGAGTGATTCCTTCACTGTAAACAAATGCGTGTATCATCATCATCATCTTCATCTTCATCTTCATCATCATCTCAGTATCAACATCATAACTTATTGAATTTTGACTCCATTACCCCATTCAATCTTAGACCAGGGCTGGTCCAAAACCAAGATCAAATTATAGTCCACAATCAGCATCTAAGTTTTGTGAGTATTGAGAAAATGGGATGATGATAGTCTCCCACCAGGGTTAATAATCATAAGTACATCATTATTAACAATAGTAGTATTAAGTTGTATAAGTAGTACTAACTTTCATTTGCCCAAGATCCAGGATTCAAAGTAACTCAATCTTAAAAAAAAAAAAAAAACCATAATGGATTAGTAAATGAACCAGAAAAAAAGGGAATCTTGCCCCAAGAATGGCACATATAACACTGCCAATTTTAACATCTATCCTTGGATCTATTTATTCTCAGTTTATTTAAGATTATTGTATGTTGTAATTTTAATTGATTTTAACTGGTTTGTAAACGGCTCAGAGTTGTGTCAATGAGATGGGCAGTGACAAATTTGATATAGAAACAAACAAACAAACAAACAAAAATTGTAACAAGAAGTCACTGTCTATTGCTCTAAGGTGTGGGCATTTAATATCAGTGAGCTGTTGTAAAAATATGGAAATGGGCTGGGCAGAGTCAACTACAACCTTTTCAATAGCTACTTTAGTCTGATCTGAAAGTCTTTCTTCTGACGCAATGGAAAAAATTATGGGAAAAGTAGATTTAAAAAATGAATGAAGAGTAAGCAAGTGATTGAATCCAGATTGGAAGTGGGGGGGTGGGGTGGGGGGGG